CACAACGTCATCTTCACAGGTTAGTACCTGGCATACAAGAGAGAGAGAGTTCTTCTTCTTCCTCTTCTCAGTCCACCATCTCCCTCTCACCCTCTTGTTATCTCACTTCACTGCATCAGCAGACTATTAGAGAGAGAGAGAGAGAGCTTGGTGACATTTTGGATCCTGACTCGACATTGGACTTCATACATTTTGACGAGGGATTATGTGGGACTTGTAACGAGACTTGGTGTTGATGACTTTTTCATCTCTCCCCTCTTCTTCGTCTGATCCACTCCTCTTCGTTTGTGCATGTCTGGACCTGGCCCCCTCTTCCTGTGTATAGCGCCAGGTCCTTCACACCATTTGGTGAGAATGATGTATGTTTGGTCTGCTTTGCAACATTCCTTGGGCTAGTCATTAGTATTCCAGTATTCTGCTGCGCTATCTTGCACTACGTGATAGAGGTCAGTCCCGGTCCAGTCAGGCTTTGTATCTAAGTCTTCCTTGCACTATCGAGCCCCATTCTGTATGTATCGAAATGCGCATTGCTTGTTGAGATTCCACTTGCATTGTAGTGTCCATTCAGTCCTTTTTATCACATTGCGGATCCTTGGTTTTACATGTACATCGCCCAACTGGGCATGTAACAGTTGGTATCGGAGCACCACACGTGAATCAAGACAACCTGATCTGACACGTGTCCGGGGACTGAGTAGCTGATTAGTCTTGATTGATTGATTAGAGCACACTAGTTAGCCCCCAAAATCACGATTTTGACCTCCCTGCTGGAAATCAATTTTTTTTCTCTTTTCTTGGATTTTGTTTTCTCACTATTTCGGTTGTGGAAAATCGCAATAGCGCAACATCTGAAATTTCCGATCTCGTTTTTCTTCTGGAAAATTTAAAATTTCGTTGTTGAAAATCCAGAATATCTTCTTTTTCGAAAATTTCGATTTCCGTTTGCAATTTCCCATTATTTAGAAAATCTAGATTATTTTCCAAAATCCGTTTTTTTAAAAACGGTACGGAAATCCTTCTTGCAGTTATCATTCTCCAACTGCGCGTACTCTCATCTGTGTAATTCGGAAAAAAAAATAAATTGTACTTCATTTTCGGAATTCTTTTATCAGAAAATCATTTGCGGTCTGAAAGTTCGAATTTTTTTCTCATCGATAATTTCGCACTTCAGGGGACTTGGGAGGCCTACTGAACTTGCAAGCGAGTATTTTTTTCTTTTTCTCGAATTTATTTGCAAAGTTCAAACTTTTCTTTTTTTGATTAGTGACTCCTTATCTGGGCGATTTATCCCACCCCTCCCCACCTATGTTGTTGCCCCATCTGGTCTTCTCTCTATCCCCCTCCGGGTACTCCCTGCGGCGGTAGTCGTGAGTTGCCACGTCAGCAGTACACAGTAGCAGGGCCACGCTAGCAACCAGTCACCGCAGCAGAAGGTCACATCAGTGCATGGTGCTCACCCGCTCAAAGACAAGCGACATGGAGCAGCAGCCAGGCGAGACTACCGAGGCCTATGAGGCCCGCATGCTGGACATGCTAGAAGAGTACAAGCAACGGGCAGCTGCGGCAACATCCGCACGTAAGAAGGAAGATGAGGAAGCAGAGGAACAATGTCGCCTCGCTGAACAGCAGCGGCAGGCGGACGCTGAGGCAGCAGCGAAGGCCGCAGACGAACGCCGTCGACTACGCTGAGACAAACTCCTCGAATGTGAGGGGGATATCGAGGTGATCGTCGGCGAATGGGCAGTGGCTGCTGAAGAGGAGGGTGCCCCCTCTACCGTGCGTGGCCATGCAACCACAATCGAACATGTGAGCGATTTGGTCGCCACCTGTGCAGCACAGCAAGAGGACATCCTCTGCATGGACATCCTGGTCCGGAAGCAGATTCGAACTATTGATGAACTGCTGGACCGGGTATGCCGGCTGGAACAGCAGCTTGCAAAAGCCACCCCCGCCGGACCCTCCAATTTGACGGATCGCGTCAACGTCTTGGAAATCAATGTCGAGACTCTCAAGGACGGCGCTTTAACGACAAATCAGCGGATTGACCAGCAGATTTGCGTTGCCGCAGCCAGTCCAACCGCCACCAATCGCGAGAGCATTCCGAAGTTTGACGGCCTCCCAATCTTCTGCGATGCAACGAAGACGGATCCGATCCCATGGTGGCACCAGTTTGAGCATCATCAACCCGAACCGGCACGCATACTTATACTCCCACTCGGGAGCATGGCTGGACAACATGTTGTCCTTGCACAACGTCACAATCTTCGAGCTGCATCAGTTGGGCTGATCTCAAGGCAGCATGGCATAAGCGGTTCCAAGTGGAGCCGCCCGAGCTTCAGGCAGCCGAGAAACTCCAACGGTTCTATCAGAACGACAACACGGACTGGATCACCGAGTACCAACGCTTGGCATCCACGTCCAACTTGTCGTCGACATTTGTCGCTTTGAAGCACTTCTTCATCAGGAGGAGCTGCCCGACGTTGCAGAACGCCTTGACGCAAGTTGAGGAGACGCTCACCACAAATGAGCAGCTTTTTGACAAGGCCTCGCAGATCATCGTGACTAACATCAAAGCCAAGAATTTGGGCCATTCGTCTACTGCAGGCCAGGACAGAGGACAGCATCGGCCGAAAGTGGCCGTGGTCGCAACAACTTCAGCGACCGACCCGTCAAACGAGGCTGCCTCTTCTGAGGAAGGAAACAGATTGGCAGCCGTCCGAGATGGTGGCTGACGCGGCAGACCGAAGACATATACCAATTCAGCCCCCTGGGCCGGACCAGCGGCTCAAAAGCCTTGGACACATTACGGTATCTCGGAAGGCGTGTATCACATCCGGTCTAAGTACCGATACTGCTTGTGGTGCAACAGCGCAGTGCACGACACCGCAACGTGCCCCACACCGGTCCAAACCAAATCCCCTTGGGGAAAGTGAGCACCGCCGAGAGTGATGCGGCTGCATTCTCGACGCCTTCGAAATCGGTTGTTTCGCGAGCGACCTCTCTTCATTCCGAGGCACATGCGGAAGTCGACAATCCTCTCTTGTATTCTTATGAGGACTATGCTTCCCGGCTCGTTCCTTCGCTGGGTTCTCAAGCTCAAGGACAAGATGTGTGTGCGGCTGCTTCTCTGTCCGACAACAACAACAATAGATTGTCTTCAAGTAACTCTTCAAGGGATTCGATGCACGAGTTCAACATAGAGGTCTTGGACCCATTGACGTCCGAGGATCTTGCATGGTTTCCTCTCTCTTCCACAGGCTGCTTGCCGGGACCGCAATGCGCAACACTATGCACCCATCTCCACACATACTTAGCCTTCTATGCACCACCATCTTCGTCGAAGGATGACGAAGCGGCGGTGGGGGACATCCTTGCGTATGTTACCAAGGTGGCCCACTAGTTTCACATGTAGCGGTGCGATGATAACAATGCACCGCTCCTTTATGTCCGCATCCAAGTTGGGCAAGCGTCATGCAACGCTTTGCTGGATAGCGGTGCGACTTGCAATTTCATCAGTCAGTCCTTTATCCAAAGGGCCGGTCTTGGCGCACAAGTTCGAAGGAAGCCAAACCCGACGGCAATCAAGTTGGTGGACGGTCGGACGCAACCACTCCTCGATCGCTACATTCAAGCCGTGCCGGTTTATTTTGCACCTCATGCATGCGAACCGGTGACATTTGACGTCTTGGACATGGACTTCGACATTATTTTGGGCATGCCTTGGCTTGCAAGTGCTGATCACACTGTTAACTTTCATCATCGGACACTTATGGTTCGCGACGCCTTCGGCGCCGAGGTGCCGTGTACCATTCCTCTTCCGCACTCCTCGATCCGATGCTAAGTTGTAACGGCCAAGTCTTTTCGGGCCACTTGTGCTTACGAGCGGACCGACGAGATAGGCCTATGTTTTCTACGAGCCCCTGCGACGACCGAATCTTCACCTACGGACTTGTCTTCGGATCCCCGAGTGGTGCGGCTGCTCAACGAGTTCACCGACATCTTCGAGTCTCCTACCGGTGTGGTGCCGGATCGGTCGATCTCCCACGAGATCATTCTTGAGGCCGGTGCCATGCCGCCGAAAGGATGCATCTATCGCATGAGCGAGGAAGAGCTTGAGGTTCTCCGCGCTCAACTCGACGATCTTTTGGACAAGGGCTGGATCCGCCCTAGCAGCTCACCATATGGTGCGCCAGTTCTCTTCGTACGGAAGAAGAACAAGGATCTTCGCTTGTTCATCGACTACCGCAAGCTCAACGCACAAACCGTCAAGAATGCGGGACCGCTTCCGCCGATTGACGACCTTCTCGAGCGTTTGGGTGCCGCAAAATTTTTCTCAAAGTTGGACTTGAAGTCGAGCTACCATCAAATCTCGATACGCCCGCAAGATTGCTACAAATTCCCGTTCAAGACACGGTACGAGCATTTTGAATGGATCGTTATGCCTTTTGGCCTCACCAATGCCCCGACGACCTTTCAAGCGGCAATGACCAATGAGTTCTGTGCGATGCTGGACCGGTTTGTACTAGTCTACTTAGACGACATCCTCGTCTGTAGCCGGACATTGCAGGATCATCTTGAGCACCTTCGACGAGTGTTGGAGACGCTCCGCCGCGCCAAGTACAAAGCCAACCGCAACAAGGGCGAATTTGTCCGGCAAGAGCTGGAATACGTGGGCCATTTTGTCACACCGGAGGGCATCAGCCTGTTGTCGGACAAGATTCAAGCCATCCAAGAGTAGTCGGAACCGAAGACCGTCACAAATGTCCGTTCCTTCCTTGGCTTAGCCGGCTACTATCAACGCTTCGTCAAGGGATACTCGAAGATCGCTGCTCCTTTATCCAAGCTTCAATGTGAGGACCGACCATTCAACTTCGACGACCATGTCGGATTTCATTTTTGACTCTCAAAGCCGCATTGCTATCTGCTGACGTATTGCGCATCTACGATCCGCTTTTGCCGACACGTGTCACTACCGATGCATCCTACTATGGCATTGGTGCCGTCCTTGAGCAACATGACGGTGTGGACTGGTACCCGATCGAGTACTTTAGCAAGAAAGTGCCCGCCGTGCACTCGATTCACGACCCACGGAAGAAGGAATTATTAGCCTTCGTACACACGCTCAAGCGCTGGCGGCATTTTCTTCTCGGTCGACGGCAGTTCCGATGGGTAACGAATAACAATCCATTGGTCTTCTACAAGACCCAAGACACGGTCAATACCACCATTGCCCATTGGATGGCCTTCATCAACCAATTTGACTTTTTCCCCGACCATTCCGGGCAAGTAAAACTATTTTGCGGATGCTCTTTCACGGCGTTTGGACCATTGTACCGCAGTCTACTCGACTTTTGAGATTGACGACGACTTGTGAGCAGCTTCATCTGCAACTACCAAGTCGACCCCAAGTTTTGCGATAAGTACGCAAATTGCTCCTCTCCTAATCCGGCGCCATCGCACTATCGGATCCAAGACGGATACTTGCTCCTCCACTCGCGAGGGAAGGATCTTCTTTGTGTGCCACGAGATTTACACTTACGCACACGGCTTCTTGGTGAGTTCCACGACGCTCCCACCACCGGACACTTTGGCGCCAATCGTACGATTGGCCAACTTCGTGAGCGTTTTTGGTGGCCCGGTCTTCTCGACGACGTCACACGCTATTGCGAGTCATGCGAGGTTTGCCGGCATTGTAAATCCCGCAATCATCGTCCGTACGGCGAGTTGCGACCATTACCAGTCCCCTTGCGGCGAAGGGAAGCGATTCCCATGGACATTACCGGCCCGTTCCCCAAGCACAAGTCCAAAGTGGATGGGATTCTCACAGTGGTCGACCGACTCACCAAGTTCGCCATGTTTTTGCCTTGCCGCTATCATGCCAAGGCACTGGAGTTGGCCGAGGTTCTTTACGTCGGGAGGATTTGAACCAAGGGTTACCCCAAGGAAATCGTCTGCAACCCCGACACTCGGTTCATGTCCGATTTTTGGTTGGCGCTCATCAAACGATGGGGCTCATCGCTCAAGCCAAGTTTGGCTCGCCACCCCCAAAGTGATGGCCAAACGGAGAGGGCGCATCAGACCGCACATGTTCTCCTTCGCACTCCCATCCGTCCCGACCAAAAGGATTGGGTCGAGCGGCTGCCGGATGTCGAGTTGGGCTACAACTCCTCCATCCACCCGGCTATCGGGATGTCGCCCTTCGAGTTCGAGCACGGCTCGTCGGTCACTTCGCCGTTGGACACCATCATTCCACAAACGGCCGAGAGCGACGACCATCTTTTTTTCTTGCGTCGGATGCAAGAGCTACTTGTCAAGGCACGCGACCAGATGGCCAAGACGCAGCCACGCATGAGCCAACAGGCCAACCGCCAGCGTCTTCCTTGCCCATTCTGCGTTGGCGATCTCGTTTGGGTCTCCGCCGCTGAATTTAGCCTTGAATAAGACATCTCTCGCAAGCTCCTCCCGAAATGGATGGGGCCCTGGCCGATCGTGGCACCCGCTGGGGATGCACCCGAGCGACCCTCCTTCATTATTCAGGTGCCCGCCCACTTGCCCGTGTACCCAGTCTTTCATTGCTCCAAGTTGGCTCTTTACACGCCAGCGCATCATGACGATTTTCCCGGGCGACGTTTACAAGACCCACCGTCTATGGACGGTTTTCAGGAGGTCGGCAACATCATCTCCCAGCGACGCTACGGCAACAGGCCAACCGGGTACTTGGTACATTTTGCATACTGCACACATCGAGCTGATCGTTGCTTGACCCGTGCGGAACTTCAAGCAACAGCTCCGGACGTTCTCGCACGCTACGAATGCGAGATGCAAGGCAAGTCAGTCTCTTCGGCTCCACACCACGCCCGCGTCCAGGTTCCACCTTCAGATCGTCAGCTTCACCCTCGCCTCGACTTGACTTCATAAGGAGGGGGGGGTGTTACATGCTGCGCCTGCACACGAGGGTCATTTTCCAGGCCCTGCGTCCTTCAGGTTAAAAGCCTGAATTTCAGGCCCAAAGCCTGAAATTTAGGGACTACAGGCCCCGTGTTTGTTCAACTCGAAAAGCTGGAAACAAGGGCCTACAGGCCCTGCGTCGTTTCACACTAAAAACGGCATGAGCCTTTTTAGCCTGAAACGGAGGGCCATTTTCGGGCCCTCATCAGACCGACCTGCCCCGAAACTCAGGCACCAAACCAGGGTCTTAGGAACATGCTATTTTTGGCCAATTCCCACGACAGCTGCAGCGCCAGCCCCTGACTCAGTTCGGCATTG